TCAAAGGCGACTATAGGGTTGCAGTTCTCATCTCGCTTTCAGGTCGAGGGAGCTGGCGTTTGTCCACAGACAGCTTTCCAGGCCATGTGGCCAGCATGACTAAACTGCTTCTGGTACAACGGGACACCGTGACAGAAACCAGAGCACACGGAAATGCCGTCTACCTTCCTGCCACACCAGTACCTATTTATCTACTTGCACTGGTATGCTTTCGAACTGGTAGGTTGGCAGAAGCTGAGACAGAGCAACAGGAGCTCACCCCGTTGTGGGGATTCAAACTGCCAACCTTCCGATCGGCAAGCCCAAGAGGCTCAGTGGTTTACACCACAGCACCACCTGCATCCCATGAGTTCTAGTACACTGTACTACACACCATGTATAACTTTATACACCTGTAAATGCTCCTTCTTTCCCACCTACTATTATTACAATTTATTATGCACCCTTCACCCTAAGATCCCAGGGTGGGTTACAGCTATTACAACACAACATTAATATTAGAACACAGTATTAAAAATAGTTTTAAAACAACTTAAAATTACAAAAATAAAGTGGGTCCTAAAAAAAATACATCTCACGTGCCAAAAACCCATGGTAAAGAGGGATGAGCATTTTTATTTTAGTTAGTTCATAAAATTCATACACTGCTTGATCATTCAAAAGCTCAAAGCGTATGAAAGTTTACAGATGAAATGAATGGAAAGCACTGGACCTGTACTGCAATTAATTAGCACATTTCCTTTTTAAAGAACAGATTTACATGTGTGGTTGGATTTTGTAAAAAAAGACTACCAGGTAGCTTGAGGAATGTTAAATCATAGAATCATTTTTGCAATTATTGTTATTTGAGTACCTAAGGGTGGAGATTGTACAGTCGTACCTCAGGTTACATACGCTTCAGGTTACATACGCTTCAGGTTACAGACTCCGCTAACCCAGAAATAGAGCTTCAGTTTAAGAACTTTGCTTCAGGATGAGAACAGAAATTGTGTTCCAGCGGCGCGGCGGCAGCAGGAGGCCCCATTAGCTAAAGTGGTGCTTCAGGTTAAGAAGAGTTTCAGGTTAAGAACGGACCTCCGGAACGAATTAAGTCCTTAACCCGAGGTACCTCTGTATACAGATGACGGTTCTTCAGAATTCATAGTGGTGTCACAGAACCGTTATTGCTTTTGGAATCATGTGAACTGCAAGGTTACACTAGAAATTTGAATCTCAAATCTGTTTCCAGGCCTGCTTAACTGTGAAGGCTTATAAAGAATCCTGGGAACACCAGCTCTATGTAGGGCTAAGGACTTTCTAGCAAAAAGCTCTTTTGCAATGACAAATTCCAGTATTCAGAGGAAATAATGGCAGTTACATAGGTTTGCAGTGGACTGCTATAATTGATATTGCTTCAAAACAATGGAGGAACAATTCAGGAACAATGGAGGATGACAGAAACAAACGTCCACACAATGAACAATGGCAGTTCTAACATATTATCTTCAATGCTCTTAAAAAAACCTCACACAGCAACTACATATATTGTCTGTGTGCCAATGACTGAGATTCTTTAGGAATCTGTTGTGGAATCTATCTTATGTGCTCTTAGGCTACAATTCAGAGATGAAGATTTCAATAAGGTATTATAGTCTAGAGAAAAGGGCCAGGAAATTATATAGGATGAACGAGATGATTTCAAAAGTGGATTAATGGAAACAGAATACGATTCAGGCACACCAGTCATTTGAGGGCAAATAACACACATTTTTGTTAATCAGCTCGGAACAGAAAGATGATCCAGGTTATTGATTTGTAGCTGATTGCCACTTTGTGATCCGTGTGATTATGTGAGTGCCCAGAAGGCAATTTCTGGATATTTTAGTTGAAGCATTTTCAGCGGCTGGATGTAAAGACATATTGCTATCCCTCTGCACCACAGAGGCTGGTGGAGCAACTGCTCACCTGGCTTTCCAATGCTATGCACCACTGCAAGGCAGAGAGGAGCTTGGCATGGCATGGGGGCAGCAAAGGGAGAGTCAAATTGGCTCCTCAACTGTGTCCACACCTTGCTGAGCTCTCAGCTGCCTTGCCCCACTCCCTTCCAGTAACCAGCAGCAATTCATGGTGTTGGGAAGTTAGGTGCCAGGGATTGGACTCTAGAGGGCAAGATGGAGGAGGAATGGTGGAGATCCACCCCCTTCTCCTGACATTGCAGGAGAAGAGGAATGGAGCATTGATTTACAGCAGAGGTTTGAGGAAGGTCACAGCTCAGAGACAGAAGAACAGAAGAGTTGGGAAGTTTTAGAAGAAGGGGAGAGGAGACAGAGGCAGGGCAGGCAGCTGACACGTTGTCACTGGAGAATATTTCTGACCCCCCTTCTTCCAGAACTCATCGTTTGTTAAGAGTGCAGGAACAAAGGACTCAGAGACAATTGGCCACGAGCGGCCACCGTAAAGGGAGGTGCTGTTGCTAGGAAGGAGGGAGGAGGAGTCCAGTAGGAGCAACGCCATTGTCAGGGCTTGCTGCGTTCTTTTGTCTCTCGCTATTATGAATGAATACACTCATTAAATAGGACCCTACCTTGTTTTCTTTGCTCTTGCTGCAACCAGGGGAGGAATGGCTTTCCCTAACATGGACAGAAGAAGGTATCCCAAACAAGCTTATTCTGATACAGTTATACTAAGAAAAAATCCAGTTTAGCGCCTACAACAGAAGTTTCTTAACATCAGAAACTTCAATGTGGACAAGAGAGCAGGGTGGTATTCCAAACACCCAAGAGCCTGTGTCACTGACCTTAAGGTGGCCATATGGGTATAAAAGAACTCCAGAGCGAGACTGCAGTGAGAAGCTGTTCAATGGCATTACTTGTGGGCTTAATTGGCAAAACCTGGTGTGCTCTTGTGTACAGTGGTAACTCAGGTTACATACGCTTCAGGTTACACACTCTGCTAACCCAGAAATAGTATCTCGTGTTAAGAACTTTGCTTCAGGATGAGAACAGAAATTGTGTTTCGGTGGCACAGCGGCAGCAGAAGGCCCCATTACTAAAGTGGTGCTTCAGGTTAAGAACGGACCTCCGGAATGAATTAAGTACTTAACCCGAGGTACCACTGTACTTATTATGGGTCTCACCCACAGGTTGCTTAAAAATCACTCCACACAATGACTGTCTCCACTTGACCGGCTGCTCAGTGCATCACTATGTCCATCAGGCAATTTTGGCCAGCCCACCGCACAGAGTCCTATCTTGACACAGAGAAAAATATGGCGAAATTGTACGCAGTTGTCCTGGTCCTCACTGCTGGATGAAGAACTCGAACTCCCAATCTGGTTTCTGCCAAAGGTTTTTTTTGCATAAATCAGATCGGTACACGGGTAAGGCACAGGTTGCAAGATGCAACAGGTACATGAGAGGCACATGGCTAAGCACAACAAAGGCATTGACTAAACAAGCAATATGTCCCCCTGCATCTTCCTTTTGAAGAGTGAGGGTGTGTCAAGTGGCACTTCCCAAGAGATATTTCACTGCATGGCCACAGAGCTCCTCTGGGCAGTTAAAAAAGTTAAATACATTAAAAAAGAAGAAAGATGAAGCCCTCAGACCACCTTGTAAGTATAGTATGGACCAGATATGCTGTTGGGTCTATTGATTGTGTGGCTCATTCCACAGATCAACCATCTGTTCCATGCACTGGTCACGAGGGGGCAAAAAGAGGAGGTTTGCTCCAAAATGCGGAATTCTCTCCATCCCTACCTCACACTACAGTTGGGTGAATATCTCAGTTTTGGTTTCTCTCAGTTTCTCATGTGTCCAATCTTAAGTTCAGGTTTCTACATATCCACTTCTCATGAATATTTATTTTGGTGCATAGTTCTCATAATACAATTTTTGTATGCAATATTGCCTAACGTACAGATTTTTGCAAAGCAAATTTCCCAAATAGTTTTGGTTCTAGTTGCAGAAACATGGCATATTATGTTATCTCAAAGTCCATTGTGTGGGATTCTGTCCTACTCTCATGGGACTATGTGGATAATAGATTTTCCCAGATGTCCTTAATGTATAATGTGATTTCAATGAAATAAGTTTGCTCATAAAATGGGACTTCCCCCCCTCCCCCATGCATTCTCCCCAGATAAGCTCCAGGGGCTTGGAGGACCCCTAGAACAGAATTAGGGGGAGTGTGGGTAGATAAGAGGGGGAGAATGTTTCATTGCACAAGCAGAAATCCTTGTGAAGATGGAATATTGATATAATGGACTTTGGAAAGAACCCTATGATAATTATTTTTTATCATCCATAAGGCAGATATGAAAGGCAGATATATCCTTTTTGGTATTTTCTTTTGATAATAATTATCTTTTTGGTCTTATCTTTTAATAATGATGAGTGCAGCATTAATCAATACTAAAAAAAAAAAGGAAGACAAGCGACATGCCTGTCAAAATGACCCATTAACCATATGCAATTGTTTCTTTGCTTTCTGATGGTTTGCAAAAAAATTGCACATCTGAGTCACTAACACATACGCTTTGCAATATTACACTTTGAATCTGAATTTCCTGTCTTGCTCGTCCCCTCACCACAAAGTTTTAAAGCAGTTTCAGGGTAGTGTGCATAGGGTTTCCTTTAAAATGGGGTGGGGGCAGATGTGGAAATTCTCCTGTGTCCTTTTGGTGGTGTGGGCATGCTTTCGAGGGATCCTTGAAGAACCATAGGTTGGAAACGTAGCTAATCATTCATTATGGGGAACCTAGTCATTTAAAGGAAACTTTAAACACTACAATCCCACAAACCAAGCCTATTAATAAACACCAGACACGCCTCCTATCTAACACCATCTCCTGAAAGGTGTGAAAAATGCATAAAAATGTTCAGCGGCCAGGTATAAATATCACCACCCAGAGTGGCTAAGATCAAACTGGAAAGTGCCGTTGACAACCAAGTTAGACTACTCCAGTGGGGCTGACATCCAAACATACAACAAAGCAGCATTTCCATTTTGAGTCAAGAACCATGGTTTGGAAGATTTGCCTGTTCCTCTTTCTGGCTATTAGTTATTCTGATGGACATGTCCCCTCTGGGCCACTTTTTGAAAGCATGAAAGAACATATAAGCAAGCTGCAGAGAGAATTTGTAAGTATAACTTCTGATAATCTTATTGTCTTTTCTTCATTTGCCTATACTCTGGCTTATTTGAGGAGGCCAATATTCTTGGGCAGAGAACTAAGACCTGGTTTTATGACACTATGTGTCATTCATTTTATGATCTTTTTGTATTTTACCGATTTTGGTGATTCTTGTAAAGTTGCAGGGAAGTTTATTCCATTGCCTTCACAAGAGAATGTGAAATATCCTCGGTGTTTTATAAGACCACACAATTTAGTATTAGTCATCAGCCTGACATGTACAGCTGGTACAAATCTATGTGTGGTTTTCTTTATAATGAATCGTTCAGGAATAGGAATCGACTAGATGGAGTGGGCGAGCACAACCAGTCACTTGCCACCCAAAGCATATTTCATTCCTTCAGCCCTCAAAGAACCAGTCACCTCTCCTATGACTAGCCCAATATAATCACAACAGCTTTCTTAGCACAGCTTCATATCTATCGAGTGCTTTTCACTGTGACGTTAAACAGTACAAAACTGAATTCCTCATGGGAATATATTTTTCTAAATATTATATTAATTATGATGATTGTTGTTGCTGCTGCTTTTATTGCTTATTTAATTTATAATGTGCCCCTCCCCATAAAGTCCAGGGTGCATATATATCCGTGTGAGGGCTCCCCCTCCCCATTATGGATCCCAAGGGCCTTCAAAACCCGAGGGATTCTTGTGCCTTTGGGGAGATGTCGACTGGTGATCTCTCCATTCAGATGAGTTTAGAGCCTTTCCCATCCTCAAATCCCTCCTGAGATCTGCTTATCTAAGCAGTTTTGCTTCCCCATTAATCCCTCTTTCTTCAGTTACATTGGTCGCCTCTCCTTTCCTCCTCTTCTTGACTCACTCGGGATAGCAAACCTCAGAGGTGCTGCCTTTTCCTTCCTTCTATGTTGCAGTGACAAGCCTCACCATAGTCTAGCTCTTGACTCTTTGGCTACCGCTCCTTCTTCGTACTTGCTCTCTCCTGACTTGGAGCCCGTTGTAAATGTATTGCCTGCCATACCTTTACCCTCTGTTTGGTCGAGCATCTCTCCACAGCGGTCGATACAAGCTTGTCAGTTCTGTTATTCAAGTTTTATAATGTTATAATAGGTGTCCATCTTGGCTGAGACACACGGTACTTAAAAAAAGAAGGAAGATTGTCAGTTTGGTAAATTTATTTGTTAAATGTAGAAGATATTCAAGTGAAAATAACTCACGCACATTTAGTCCGACAGAATGTGTTTGTTCCTCTAGGGCAGCATTCACTAACCTAGCCTTCTCCAGATGTTTCAGACTACAATGTTGGAAGCCACCCAGAGTGGCTGGGGCAACCCAGTCAGATGGGAGGGGTATTATTATTATTATTATTAAGCATGGGCAATGAGCAAAATTATGGGAACTGTTGTCCAAAACATTTAGAAGGCATCAGGAGAGGGGAGGCTGCTCCTGGGTAAAGATCTGGGGTGTACGTGGAAGTGAAAGCAGAGTATACACAGTCTTTCTAAACTGAAACCTATAAGTCCAGCCCTGCTGAGGAAATTTGCTTTAAAGTTATCTTTGAAGTGAATCAGATGATTCAAACCTGGGGCGGGGGGACAATTTAAATGCCACTTAATTACAACAGTCTTAATTACAAGAATCTCAAAGCAGTGTACGAGTAGTTTAATAATAATAATAATAATAATAATAATAATAATATAATGTTAAAATGATGAAATCAGAATTTTGTTGAAATGCCTGCTGAAATAAAATAAGTCTTCAGTAGGCGCCTGAATGTTCAACAGGGAGGGGGCCTGTCTAACACACTGCTTCTGTAGATACCATAGCAGCCAACTCCTAGGGGCTGAGGGGTTGTCACCCCTCCAATAAAATATTTGAGGGGGCCGGGATTCCCAAAGTTGATAGGCATATATGCCATTCAAATGGTGTGTGCGCACCATATCATGTGGGTGATCATGTGTTGCCTGTGCCCCCCCCCCAATATTTTATTCAAGTTGGCACCCATGGTGGATATGAGCTGTACATCTGGGCCTCAGCCATGTGACTAAGGAGGAAAAATGCTGGAGCTGAGCCTGAATGTTCACGGTCCAAACTGAATAATGCTACATGTTTGGTTGAGACATTTGCGTTTTGTATTGCAGAACACCAGTCAGCCTGATGTTGCCGAGGGTGGCGCTATTTTCAGGACTCATCTGAAGAACGCTCTATGGTCACAGGTAATTGTCTCAGTTTGTGTAAATATTTGGACAGGTTTCGTACAACACCAATCATCTGACGTGAAATGTCAGTTGCTGCCTAGCACTTGGCCTCGGACTATTAACTCTCCACTCCACCCTCACATGGACTATATCATCATTCTCTAACCCGGTGCCCTCCAGATGTCTTGAACTACAACTCCCAGAAGCCCCCAGATTGAGGAAGGCTAGCCAATATCACCAGAGAGCTTTGTAGATCAGACATACTGTTTACATTCTCTTTCATAATGAGATAAGTAAACTAAAAGTGAAAGGTGGAAATCTATCACTTTTACTGGAGTGCTTCTGGTGCTATCAGGAGAAACCCTCAAGAAGCCATTCTTGTTTCAAAAGGGAGCTCACCACTGCTTTGGCTTTTGCCAAATGGCTGACTCAAGCTATAACAACACTAATGCCAACAATGGCCATAAGAAAATCTGGTTGCTTGAAAGTTCTGAGGGCCTTCATTGTTAACATTCAGAAGGAATTTAAGAACATTCCGGGCATTTATGCCTGAAAGATACAGTTCCTGGAAACCTTGACCTTAGTATGTCTGAGGATATGTGATTGATTGTCAATGTTTTTAGGGGCTCTTAATATTTTAATAAGTTTTTAGATGCCCTTAACGTTTTCAAATGCTTTTATTTGTTTGATTTTTAATTGTATCGTCTTACTGCCTTGTTTGGTGCCCTGGGCAATTTTGGAAGGAAGAATAGGAGAGAAATGTTATGTAATAATTTTCCGTATTTCTGTTATTGGGAAATGTTACTAATCCATTCTCTCTCTCTCTCTCTCTCTCTCTCTCTCTCCCTCTCTCTCTCTCTGGGGCTGGTTTTCTGGCAGGCCCATGAAAGAAAGATCTTGCTCGCTCAGATGATTTCCAAATACTGGGACCTGTTGACTAATCTAAACAGCACTCAAAATCCAAAGGACGTCAGGAGTTTGGTAGAAGTCCTGCAAGTCTATAAAGAGAGTTACAGCGAAAGCTTGAAAAAAGCAAAAGATCTAATTGAGATAGCAAAACTTCCGGTAATATTACATTCTTCCTTTTGATTATGTCACTGAATATAACGTCTGTCTGTCTGAGGGATAAGTGGCTCACTCTATGCTATTGAAGGATGGAATGATGGGTTACACACTGGGATTAATTAATTAATTAATTAATTATATCATTAAATTTATATCCTGCCCTTCCTCCCAAAGGAGGACGGGTGTGCTGTGAAGTGGCAGTGACTAAAAAGGAAAGAGATGTTGGTCATAGAATCATAGAATGTAGAATTGGAAGGGACTCTGAAGGTCACTTGGTCCAGCCCCAGCAATGAGTCATCTCAACTAGATCATCCATGGCAGGTGGTCTTGGTGGATTCTCTGCAACGCCCTCTGGTGTCACATTTTAATAATGTACCATAAACGTTCAAAGTAGGATGTCATGTGCCCATATGGTTATCAAAACCCTTCCTTCATGTTAAAAACCATGAGTATAGATCCACCCGCTGTATAGAGTTCTGGCCACCACTTCTAAGAAGGTTATTCTGTGAATGGGAAATGTGCAGAAAAGGGCAATTAAAACATTCAAGGGATTGGAGGACTTTTCCTATGGGGAAAGTGTATTTAAAAATTGGGTTTTTAAGTTTAGAAAGCAGAGGAGCCCCACTGTCTTCATGTCCTACTTGTGGACTTTACTGAAGCCAATGGTTGGCCCCTGTGGAAACCAGGATGCTGGACTAAAGGAATCTTTTGGCAGAAGCTTCAACAGGTCAATGGTTTGGGCCGACAGTCTTGCTGATGCATTGCATTCGGAAAATCTCCTCTGCCACCAATAACGTCACATTGAAAATCACAGGCGTTTCTTACCATCTATTAGGAATGCAATGCAGCTCATCACACAATTATATGTTACCAGATAATTTGAAACAATAGGGAACATGAGGATATTCACCTAAGGTCAAGTCTGACCACAGCAGGGTTGCCACACAGGTCAAAGTCAGAATCTGTGGGTGAACGTAGCAGTGCTGATGTTTGCACATAATGTATTTCTTTAAAAAGTTAACCTGACCTTCCTCTAAAATAGCTCAATTAGGCAAACAAAGCTGTAGCCAGGCAGATTTCACTCCACATGCTGATCAAGCCCAGGCCTGCTCAACTTCATGTAATTCTTAGTACTGCTCAAGTAAGGTTGCCATATTTTGAAGAGCAGAAAAGAGGATGCTGTGACGACTCTCATTTTAAATACTCCTCCTATATGTAGGCTATAGAAGCTGTGATATATTGCTGAGGGGAGCAAGAGAAGAGAAGAGGAAAGCAAGTCCTCAGCCACCAGTTATGTGTATGTCTCACCCAGAAAGTATAGCCAGGGAGATTTTGGCAAATTTAGAAAATCCACCCGGACAGAAATTTTAGCCCTAAAAAAGAGGACGTGTCCTGGAAAAAGAGGACCCTAGTAAGGTGGCAACCCTAGTAAGTCTAGGGTTGGCAACCCTAGTAAGTCTGATTGGTGGTGGGGAAAGGAAGTAGATGCTACATGAAAGAAGCATGAAATGCGGAATCACCTTACTTTTCTGTGTTTATACACAGACTAGGTGTTTTCCCCCTAAAAAACGATGCCAAAAATTAGGGGGCGTCTTATACATGGATAGTGCTGAGGGTAGATTGGCGACTCCCCCCAAATAGGGGGCATCTTATACATGGGGGCGTCTTATAGACAGAAAAATACAGTATATCCCTTGCATAAGTAGGCAAACAAGTCCAGATTTTTATTTGGTACCAGTCATGCGTCCACAGGAAGTTAAATCCTGTTTTCTAGCCAGTCAGTGTTTTCTGGCCGGTTTCACAAACAGGCAGTGTTGTTGTCTTCATTGTTAAATGCTCCAGGGATATTGTCAATCAAGATGTGGGCTGGTGACCAGTCAATGTCTTTTAATGAGTGGAATGTTGGAATTAGACTGCTTAGATCTAGGGTGACATTTCTGCTCAGCCATAATAATTACTGGACTTTGGGCCAGCTACTGCCTCATATGCCTTCCTATCTTGAGAAAGACGGTGGGGGAGGGGCCCTGTATGCCACCTTGGGATAGCCAATGTGATGCCTTCCAGATGTTGCTGGACTACAACTCCCATTATCCCTGCTCCATTGCTCACTGGGGCTGATGGGATCTGTAGAGCACCACATTGGCCACCCCTGTTATAGAGGAAGGGAGGAGTAAAACCCAGACAAATAATAAAGGGTAGATCATTGACCCCTATTCAATAATTCACATGTATTACTCTATTGTGTACAGTGGTACCTCGGGTTACATACGCTTCAGGTTACATACTCTTCAGGTTACACACTCCGCTAACCCAGAAATAGTGCTTCAGGTTAAGAACTTTGCTTCAGGATGAGAACAGAAATCATGCTCTGGCGGCAGCAGGAGGCCCCATTAGCTAAAGTGGTGCTTCAGGTTAAGAACAGTTTCAGGTTAAGAATGGACCTCCGGAACGAATTAAGTACTTAACCCGAGGTACCACTGTATTTGCATTTGTCCCCTTCATTTCCGTGAGGGTGATGGGACCCTACGAACGATGCATAATTATTTTGCTTTCTTAGATTGTGTTATTATTATTTGACTGAAATGACTGAGAAGGGGCTTACAAACAAGGGAGCTCCACATCTGCATTGTTGGCATTTGAGTTTGTCTTTCTGCCATTCATAGGCTTTCTGGAATGTTATTACATTATTTTTTTAAAGTGCCATTTCTCCAGTAAATATATACGGAGCATAATTCCCTGCGAACTGTTAAGCTAATGCATTTTTGTCATTTTAATCAGATGGATAATGTGAAAATCCAGCGCAAGGCAATCACTGAATTTTACGACGTCATGTTGGAGGTGAACAAAGAGGAAGTTAAAAGAAAGAGGAGAAGCCGAAGGCACAACCCCAGCGTCCCGATGCGATACAAACCAAATCCCAGAGGCTAGCCTTGTTTTTCTACTGAGAGCTCCTTTTAATATATATAAAAAACTATTTATTTATATTTAATAGTTTAAAATAATTATTTATAAATGCCAATTTTGTAAAAAAAAACCAAATCAGCATCTGATTTGAAGTATTTATAATTCATGTTATGTAATAAATTAATAGAACTGAATTCCTATTTATCTTCTGATATTTGTTAACAGGGTCAGTTAGAACCTGTCCAGAGTTTACTTGGCATCTTCCATGGAGTGCATTTAAATTATTTAATTAAACAAAATATTATTCTGTTTCCAAAGTGTCAAGTGTTGTTGTTGTTGTTTTGGCAACTGAAGATCACAAAGAGACTGGAGAAAGAAATTAGTTTTATTATTACTTCATGATCCCCATTGGGAAATGGGCTTCCATGTTCACTTCAGTGGCAGAGGCAATTCTCCACAGCCATCTCCTTGTGTGTGCAGAGCTGCCCCATCAGGGCAGTGAGAAGGACGTCTTTGCAAGTGGGGTGGGTGTCTGCACCAGAGGGAGCCCTTGTGCTCATAAGGAATCACGGGAAGAACTGAAAATAAGGACATCCATTCACATGCTTAAATTTTAATTCAAGTCTTTCTGTCCAAGACTGATCGTGAATAGAGTTGATGGCAGGGCTGATATTGCCAGCCTTCATGTCATGTTTGTAACGCAGAGTTTGTCAGCCAATGGGCCTGAAGCCAACTCTCTGTGCAGCACATCCCTGGGGCATAGCTGTCAAGTTTTCCCTTTTCTTGCAAGGAATCCTATTCGGAATAAGGGAATTTCCCTTTAAAAAAGGGAAACGTTGACAGCTATGCCCTGGGGATCCTGCCATCTTCCATTCTCCCCCCACCCCTCCAACAAATTCTATTGGTTTTCAAGAACAACATATAACTACAGTAACTTGTCCAATGGTGCATTCTTGTTAAGTTTCATATGCAGTACACTGTACACAAGCAATACATTTATTTATTGTCAGGGACCGTGTTGAGGAGGACTGCACTGAGGAGGAATGGTGGGAGCTGCTCCCTCCTTCTGACCCTGAATCTTCCCAGGAGCAGGAGGACAGTATAGATGAGGAACAGCGTTTGCAGAGGGACACAGTTCAGAAGGCAGAAGCAGTGTGGGAGGCTGGCAGCAGGACCAGTGATGGGAATATTTTGGTTGGTGTACCTGGTCCAATGTACATTGGGAGTGCCCTCTGCTTACAACTTCTATCCAATGAAGAGAGCAATCTGAGGAAGCTAGGGTAGTGAGGATCAGTGTTGGCAGAACCACCCTGCCAAATCTCACATCAGCCAGGGTGGAAGGCGGGAGGAGTTGGCTGCAGGGAAAGGATATACGGCAGCTCCAGGAATGGCGCACTTTCCCCTCTCTTTCCCCTCACTTTCCAGGGATGTGTCAAGGTAACATGAGAACTTTCAAAACTTTCCCTAACAAATATCCCTTTTGCCCTCTATGCTCTCAGAACATCATAGTTGGAGGTGCAACAGAGGCAGACCTTTCCACTGCTGCTCTGGGGAGGCATCCAGGGTGGACTCCCTGTCCAAAGGTGGACCTCTTTCTCCACCCACAGAGAAGGAGATCTGCAGAATACTTAGGCGTCTGGGATGCCCTGTGTGAAAGAGGCAGTGATTTATATAGGTCCATCTCTTCCATTGAATGGAGAAGTCAGATTAGCCAACGGGTGGGCATATAGGATAAAAGCTTTGAATGAAGATGACTCCATAGCTGCTCATTTGCTTACTGATGCACAGCAAAGCAATCCATGGCCACTGAATAACTGTGATAATTTTTTTAAAAAAAACAACAACCCTAATTTATTTATTCATTTAAATACTTATAAGCTGCCTTTCTAGACCAAGCCCACTCAAGATAAACCTAAATCTTCTAGGAAGAAGAAGAAACAAATGATACAGTGAGCATATTGTTCAAAAGGCTATAGCAGCTGAGTAATAAATATATATGCTGCACATACATTTTAGCAGTTATTTAAACCAGAATCACTGCAAACAGGGACAATAAATAATCAAAGTAATCATTTTTATTGCTCAGCTTCAGCCTTCATAGGCAATACAGTACTTCCTTCATTTAAAAATTCAAAATATGCAGCTAGCACCTTGATCCTAAATATTTAGGGCTCCGTCCCATCAAGGATGCTTGCAACATTTACTAATAGAGAAGCTTGTGAGAGTTCCATAAAATCTTATTTCCCCATTTCCCTGCCAATGCATGGCTATATATAATCAGAACATGGGGGCATTTCTGAGAATGGGAGGCTCATGGAGGAAGTCACTAGTGGAGCACAAAAGGCAACAGAAAGCAAACTTTGAGTTCATGGTCTTGGGAGCGTGTCAATACATCTTCTTGCCAATGACACAAGACAGCCTAGGTACACCTCTGCATATAGGAAGTTTTAATGAACTTTTCATTTTGTGCAATGACCCTATCTGGTATCTGTATGAGCAATTATGCTCTTAGGCTGGGGTTGGGGAAACAGGGCAACTCCTTGCACCACCTGGGCTCAGCTGGATCAATTCCATAGTAATTTGCCCTAGACGTACACCTATCTATCGCTGCAATAGAAAGGAAGTAGCTCCTCTCTGCTATTTCTTTTTAAGGTAGAGCTTGTCAATACATTGCTCTCCAGATGTTGTTGGACACCAATTCCCATCACCTCTGACCATTTGCCATGGCGGCTGGGTTGATGGAAGTTGTAGGATGGTATTCAACTAACTTTTATTCATGGTGGACCCATTGAAATTAATGGGACCAACATAGTCATATTCATTTATTCACTTCTATGTTGTTTTCAGGCAGGTGTAGCAGGTTGTCTGTGATGTCTTTTCTGCTAGAATTCCTGCTCCATGATTGCAGTCATAGGATTGTTGTCTATCACATGACGGTATATGTTTTGACTCCACAGAGTGGGAAGTGACGGAGACAGGATATTTGTGTCACTGTGTTCCGTGATGTGGGACTATTGTCCTTTGTTCTTTTTCTCTTTACTGTCTGATGCTAGAGAGAGAGGGAGCCATGTTGTAGTGCTCCATGTGTGTTTACAGTGGTACCTAGGGTTAAGTACTTAATTCGTTCCAGAGGTCCGTTCTTAACCTGAAACTGTTCTTATCCTGAAGCACCACTTTAGCTAATGGGGCCTCCTGCTGCCGCCGTGCTGCTGGAGCACGATTTCTCTTCTCATCCTGAAACAAAGTTCTTAACCCGAGGTACTATTTCTGGGTTAGTGGAGTCTGTAACTTGAAGCGTCTGTAACCTGAAGCGTATGTAACCTGAGGTACCACTGTATATGTAAACAAAGTAGATTAGCCAACATGCTGAGTTGCTGAGGTCTGTCACGTGCATGATGCGCAAACTCTGCAGATCCCTAAGTGTGCCGGTGTCGGTTGGCATCGGTCACTGTGATGTTCAGGCTGAAGAAAGCTTATGAAGCTCCCGAATGATCAACCAGGAGGGAGAGAACATGCCAGTCAGGCATGTGTCTCTGCGAGGGTCCTACTCGAGTGCAGGCTGAACTCCTGACATTTTCTCCATGTGGCATACTTAAGGTCATTGCTTTCCACAGTCCCTTTGGAGACATGCACTGGGATCTCAGCCTTTCTCCTCTCAAAGGCAGAGGCCCCCGGCAAAGAGACACAGGACAAGAGCTCCCTAGCTGTTGGCTTGCTCCTCTAGCAAGGCGCAGGAGAGAAGGAGAACAAGCAGTCTCCAGGAACTTAACAGCTCCCAGGTGAGAAAGCACATGTACAGACTCCCAACCAACTCATTCCTCTGGCAAGGCAGCGTTCAAAGTTACCTGGAACTTTAGCAAGTTTTGCCTTGAGTGGCAGAATATTCTGTGGATTGACGTATATGAACAACCCAGCCGAGCCAATCAGGAGATTGCAGGACTAGGGTGAGTGACCATGAGTCAGAATTCCATGTGTGCAGGTCTTCTGTTGTGAGAAGGAAAACTTCAGTGCATGGGTGGGAAAAACTCTTGTAAAGGTAAAGGGTAAAGGGACCCCTGACCATTAGGTCCAGTCGTGGCCGACTCTGGATTTGCGGCGCTCATCTCGCTTTATTGGCCGAGGGAGCCGGTGTTCGTCCGCAGACAGTTTCCAGATCATGTGGCCAGCATGACTAAGCTGCTTCTGGCGAACCAGAGCAACGCACGGAAACACCATTTACCTTCCCACCGGAGCGGTACCTATTTATCTACTTGCACTTTGACATGCTTTCGAACTGCTAGGTTGGCAGGAGCAGGGACCGAGCAATGGGAGCTCACCCTGTCGTGGGGATTCGAACTGCCGACCTTCTGATCGGCAAGTCCTAGGCTCTGTTGTTTAACCCACAGCGCCACCCGCGTCCTGCATATATAAAGGCATATTGATTTAATGATGCTAAATTGTGCTAAACTGATGCTGAAGCTTGTCCTACCGATTTCGATGCAGTTTCTTTCCACATTATTGTCCCGATCCAGTGGCTCCAGTGGGCCTGTGACGTGCCTTCTCTTCCCTACAAAAAGTGACTTCCCTCTTCAATAAAACAAAATAGTCTGTATGTGGAACCTGGGCAGCCGCTCCCTGCTCATATAGAGCTTCATTTGCAAACTAGAAAACTATCACAATTACACCGCTGCTCAAACTGTTAGAGATGCCTGTGTTTTATCCGATCCCTTTTGGAAGTCTTTTACTGGAGATAGGGACCTGGGAAAATTCAATTCAGTTCATGTTTAAATTTCACACAAATTTCCCCTTTCCTGAAAAAATACAAGGAAATAAAATGCAACCATCTTTCAAAAAATTGTGTTTTGAATTTTGAAACGCAGTTCTGCAGCCAAGCACTGTGCACAATAATGCAGATACTAGGGTAAAGTATGCAAAAAAAAAGTGCATATATTGTTTTGAACAGCATTTACAAATGCATTATGTTAGCAGAAAGTATTTGCAAAAAGGCTGTATATTAGGATAAATTTGTTGACATTTTCTCCTGGGAACTTAAAAAATAATTGCAAAGTGATATGGAGAACTGAATTTAAGAGTGGAAATGTAAGAAACTGAAATTGATGCAGTTGCCCAGCCC